GGCCCCTGCCGGGTCCTGCCTGTGCTGTTGGCTGCCCGCTGCGGTGGGCATCGTCCTTCTCCCAGCCGGGCCCGACGGCGAACGACCCCAGCGAGGGCCAGGTCTTCCTCAGCCAGAGCTGCGTGAAGGTAGGGACCCGCCGGAGGCAGCTTGAGTGCCTCTGGGAAGGATGGCCTGCCTTGGGCACATTGGGGAGGCATTTGAGTGTTCACCAATTTGTTCAGCGGATCTTTTAATCCTCTTCTTTGCAGAGGCTGCTGGATATCACAGATGGCTCAGAGTTTCTCAGGCTGCAGGTGGAAGGAGGTGGCTGCTCTGGATTCCAATACAAGTTTTCCTTGGACACAGTTATCAATCCTGATGACAGGCAAGGACAAAGGGGTATAGTGGTGGTTGGGTGTGACTGTTCTTTGCAAAGGCAACGAGAAGGGTGCTGTGGCATGATAGTGTCTTGAATTGAAGGGAAGAAGCCTGTGAGATAAGGAAAGTGCTCAGGCTGTGCTTTTCTGTGGGGTCTGCAGCACAGTTAATGGTTAAACATGCTGCTTTTCTGCAGGGTGTTTGAACAAGGTGGTGCCCGTGTGGTTGTGGATGTGGACAGCCTGGCCTTCGTGAAAGGTTCCATGGTGGACTTCAGCCAGGAGCTGATTCGCAGCTCTTTCCAGGTGGTGAGCAACCCCCAGGCAGAGAAGGGTTGCTCATGTGGGACTTCCTTCTCTGTAAAATTCTGACTGGACTTCCCATGGATGGACACTGTCTGCAGCCGCTTCCTGGTGGTCTTCGGATGGTTTTTGCTTGTTCTTTTCCCAGCTGCTCCCCTCCATCTCCCTTAACCGGTAACACATCTGTTACACGTGACTCCAGCTGTGTGTGTGTCTGCACTGAGCCTGTCTCCAAGACTTGTTGGCCTTCCCTTCAGAAACATGAAGTAGCTGTGAGCATGCACATGGGAGCATCTTCAGCGCCTTGTGAACTACTGGCTGGGTGGTGCTGACTCACCTACCCTGTCCTGAATGTGGAACCTCTTAACTGCTTGTCTCTGCAAGAGATGGCTGTATATATGTATGTGTGTGTTTATTGGAAGTTCTTACTAAAAAAAAAGTCTTTGAGATTGATTGGTATTGCTTGTGCATTCCCACGTGGGTAGAGTCTGGGTTCTTTCAGGCTACTGTTGCTTATCCCTTGTCTTCCAGCTGGATGGGACTTGGAGTCTCTCTCCCATACACCTCCCAGTGTTGCTGGCTCTCCACTCCCCAATTCACAGTGGGCTTTTCTAGATACTTTGCTGTTCTCTTACCCAGCAGGCTTCTCTCGGGCCCAGGAACCTGCAGTGGTTTTGCTGTCAGTCAGTCCCTGGGATGAAAGTTTTTACTTAGAGTAAGTGAAGCTAAAAAATTGGGGTAGGAAGACTGAATAGCTTATTTCTTTTAAAATAAAAAAGCTTGTGTATATATAAAAATAAAATACACAGCCCTCCATTCCCCAGTGCTATTTTAGGCAGTGCCTAAACCTGACTTGGTATTTTAGGTCATACAAACTCAGGTTTCATATCATGTCTGCTATGCCAGCAGGAAGGGAAGTTCAGGTGACACAGGCAGAGAAGGATCTAGAGTACTACTTAAAGGTCCTCGAGTCCTTTTGACTTAGTTGTCCAAGAGTCTTTTCCATAACTTGCTTCACCCTTTAATCTCTGTCTAGCTCGTGCCTGGTTTGATGAAAGAATGAAATAGCTCCTTTCTTTTCTGAAAATCCCGTGAAATGGGAAATCTAGAAGTTTCCAGAATAACATCCTTTTGATTAGTTGTTTTCTGTAGTTTTTTATCTGCCAATAGATGTCTTTTAAATCAAAGTGATTCACCTGCTTCTGGGTGAAAGGAGAGATGGGGAAGTTATTTTTGTTCCCTCTCTTGTGTTTTATCTGATCATAACCAAATTGTCCAAGACTCGAGTCTTTCACGTGAGTGTGGGAGCGCTGCATGACTTTGGTCTCAAGGAAACTGCTTACAGCAACCACGAGCTTTTTAAGACTTTGCCACAGGCATTTTTGTTCAGCTTCCCAAATGCCTTTCTAAACTCATCAGCAGTGCATATTACAGCACTGATTTGCCTGTTGATCTCTAATGCTCAGAGAGTTGATAGTTGGCTGGTTTCAGTTTCACCTGTAGCTGTTACAGGAATTCATATGTGATTTGCTCTGACTTCGTCACATGAGGAATATGGACGGGATTTGGAGCAGCAGCTCTTTTGGTTTAGCCCTTTCCATTTGTTTCCTGCAGTCAACAAGTTCTACCTAGTTATGTTGCCATCAGAGGGAGCTGGATGTAGCACTGTCCCATTTTGTAAAAGGGAGTTAAAAGGATGTGATTAAAAGACTTGTCTAAACCCCTGCAGGGTGTTTTGGCCCTACCCTTGTGTTCCCAGGTCTTGAATGTGATGTCAGCCAGACCTGCCTTTGAGAAGTGTAAGCCCTAAAAGCTTGTGTAGGTAGAATACATGAGAAAAACTCAGTTTCTTTAAGCTGGGATAACTGAGAAAGAAAGTTGGTGGGAGGAATTGCTTGCTGAACAGGGAAGTACAGATCCATTCTTGATCCATTTCACACAGTCTGACCTTGGTCAAGTCTCTTTTGGGGTCTTTTATGGGAAATAAAAGTGCAGCAGTAGTGCTGGAGAGTTACAAACCACCAGCTACTGAGGCTTTTTTTCCCTAAACCAAAGCCTGCCTTTAGCCCCTGTAAACGTGCAGCCTTCATCTTGGGTTACTGACTAAATGCAAATGAACCATGTCTGTTCAACCTAGCTAGGTTACACCTGCCTTCGCTCACTCTGCACTGATGAAGTAAAGCAAGCAAGTGCTGTCCATGTGGAGGGCCACCCTTTTCAGAGAATTTACCTCCTCCCTCCCAGGGACTGCACCGAGGATGAGGCTTTGGGTCCCGACCGGTGTCACTGGCAGCGTTGCTGGGCTCGCAGGGGAAGCTTGCATGCAGGGCTTGCTCTGCCCGCCGTTCTGGCAGTACTGCTCTAACTGCACTAGGTGGACCCCTTACTCCTTGGGAGTTGCTGCGCTGGATATGCACGGGCATTTCGACTTCTATTTGGGGTGAGGTCCATGCAGGACCTAGGCAAGAGCAGAAAGTTTCTTTGCAGCTGCCTGTTTTAGAGGCAGGCTGGAGCTGAGTTATTCTGATATTGCAGCAGTGTGGTCTCTAGATCAGAGAAGCTGCTAGGAGCTGGAGAGGTTCCAGCTGTACAGCGTGTCGCTCTTGGCCACCTGCTCCTGCTTCCTGGGAGCAGCTGTGATCTACTGGCCAAAGCTACTGGTCTGCCAGCTCCCAATAGCAAATGGGCGCAAAGGGCCGTCTGTCACATCCAGAGTCCTCCTGACTCTTAAAAAAGTCCGTTGGTACATCAGAAATTGAAAACTTCTCTCCATGTCTAGGGGGTCATGCTAGCAGAGGGGGGTGAAGGTGACCTTGGGGAATTTTGGCTGTGTAGGCAGAAAAGGCTAGATCTTGGCTCCTATGGAAGAAGAAAACCCAACCTGTCAAGGTTTCTACAATGGTTTCTACAAGGTTTCATAGCCTTAGGGGACAAAGATGGCACCACACAGTAGGCTGTGGGGCAAGACTAGTAGTTCCAAGAGAAGGGTGCAGAAGATTAGACAGGGGATTCAGTTCTGCTGGGGCTGTGAAAGACTGCCAAGGCACGCCTGTGAGATGCCTACAGTGTGGGAATAGATGGGAGCCCTTGTACTGAACCACCGAGAAAAAGCAGGAGTACAGAGCTGGAAGTGCTGCCTTTGCTTCATTGCAAATGAGAAACTGCAGTAGAAAATCTTCCTCTGCTCCCACATGAAGAAGGAGGATTCTCTCGGTTCACCCACCTGACAAGGAATGAATGATCAAGAAAGATATTTATGGAAACCTACGTTAAGATGAAACTTCAAGGGAAAAGGGCACAATCATCAGTGTCCCTGACAGGCGAGTAGAAGAGGATGGAATAGAAATCCTCACTTTGGTGAGGCCTTGCCGGAGCTCTGCAGGGACTTGTTGGTAGACGACCAGCACATCCTCAGCCTGTGACTCAGGCTCTGTTCTTCAAATTGGGTATCTACCATCACCTATTAACTGTGGGTCCCCCTTCCAAGCTTCAGGCCAGACAGCAGATTTTTGTCATACCCCTTTTCTCGTGGTTTAGGGATACGCATGGGAATACCATGCTCACCTTGGTGGACTTCTGTGTGGTATTACTTGCTGCAAAGAGCATTTGGGGGTGAGTGGCTCCTATAAGACTGGGGGCCAGCCTAGGGTGGATGTTAGGGGAACAACTGACCCTCTCAGCCCAAAATTTTCATCTGCAAAATTTTGCTAAGCTCGGTCCTCTCCCTTGTGAAATTCTATGTCTGTACAGAGCTGTTGGGTGAGTCAGGAAGCCAGTGAGGGGTGAGGAACCAGTACCCCCCCGATGACACCTACTGGAGCTTCTGCTGCCCCCACACAGCAGTATAGCTCCCTGCCTTCTTAGGGCTTGCCTGAATCCAGCACCTGGGGGAGGGATCGCTGAACACTGGAGGAGGCAATACCAGGAAGGCAGAAATGCATGGAAGAAGGCTTCTCTTGTGTCCCACAACTGCTTTTATATCAAGATCATCTTCAGCCTTGCAGGTGTTTTAAACATCCACTGGCAGCTGGAAGTAAAAACCAGAGTGGTATAAACCCCACTATTCACACCCTTAGCTGGGACTGGCCAAAAGAGTTTACTGAATTCAGCGCAAGCATGCTGTATTTCCAGGGTAAGCTGCTACAGCACGTGCTTGAGGACTGAACCACGCGCTCTCTCCACCAGCAAACACAGCAGCCAGGTTCATTAGCAGAGGGTGTGATCGGATGGATGTGCGCCATTTTGATGCTTCGTTCTCTTTGCCTGTTTTCATGCACGCCAGCTGAAGTGCCCACCCAGCATTCACCATGCTCCGCTGGAACGGGCCGTAGCTGCCGGAGAGACTGGCAGCAGAGAAAGGGATAACCTCGCGTGATGGTGTTCCATACGACTGTCAGCCAGCATGGAGAAAGAACCGCAATTCAAGGAGGCAGAGCATTGGCGAGAATAAACTGCAGCCGCCTGTATTGTATCAAACTCTTCTATTTGGGCAATCTTTTTGTTGCTTTTTTTTTTTGTCCAAGAGGATGAATCCTTGAACCGAACACCATTAGGGGCTAGGTATAGGATTAATGATGCAGTTTGGATCTTGCTGGGTTCTGAGGAATATGTTTGCTCAGCGTGGTTTCCAGGATTAGGCTGCAGCTGGCAGATACCTGCCCAGGAAACAGCTCAGTAGATCATGGACTTGGGGTGAATTTAGCATCCAGCCGTGGATGGAAACGAAGCTGTTCATGGCAGCGAGGTGGGCCATTACTGCAAGGCTGTGATTCCTCGCCCCGTGGGGAGCAGTTTGTGCGCTGTGCTTCCTGCCTCCGGCCTTCCCAGCACTCGTACGGGCTCTTAGTATTTCCCGCTTAAGCAATAAGAGTTTATGGCCCTAGTCTTTGTGGTTGATTAGAGCCCAAGTTTGTGCCCCTGTTTTAATCAGTGCTCATTTACCTTTGGCATCCTTCAGAGGAACAGAATGGTATGTCTTTCAGTTGCCATGGAAACAGTGAGACTAAATGCACATTTCCATGGCAACCTGCCATTATCTTCAGCTCTATCTATGGGTCTCATTTCTGACCATGGGGGTGGGGTGGTGAAAATGGAACTTCATCTCTTAAAAAACATAAAATTTAAAAAAAAAAAAAAAAAAAGAAAGGAAAAGACAAGAAAGGTGCTACAATCACCATCGCCACCACTCCCTTTCCTCCTCTGGCTCAGGATTGGGGCCGAGCGAGGCCGGTGACTACCACCGCCATCCCATGCGCTAGGACTCCGAGGTATTTCTTCAGCCCATCTCTCCCTCACTCTTCTAAAAATAGAGACGTTCAGAACAATTTGATGACAATGTTCCAGCACTTCTCTGAGCTCTTTGTTTCCTTAACTAACGCTCCCAGAAAAGGCCCTTGAAGTTAATTGAACTTTCGAACGGGTTCCAAAGGTCAACGTGTCCCAGCTCCTTTTGGTCCCAAGGGCCAAGGGTTAATTATGGGGTCTAAGACTCCAAGGAGAAGCCTTTGTCTGCTGGCACCGGAGGCGCCAGGGCAAGTCACGTTAACCTCAGGAGAGGGGGACCTTCTTGCAAGGGAGGGGGGCAGCATGGACTGCTCCAGGAGGTCTTGCCCATCGGAGAGATAGGGATCAAAGGCGATGTTTATCC